CACCCACGGAGGGTGAGAAGGGAATTTTTTTTTTTTTTATATATAACAGCCTACTTATAATAACCAGAGCAAAACATTTATCACCCAGTTTGTCTGCAGAGTTTGAAGCATGGTAAATACAGACAGAGGGAAGAGGAGCTGGATGGATGATTGACAAACGACTGGACGGAGGTGGAGCGACTTTCCAGACTGTTTTTCTTTTTCTAAACTTGTCAAGATTTTCCAGACTGCAGGAACTCTGAACAAACCAAACAACTGTTAATGTGATGTCTGTCGTCTGTAAACGTCTCATTACTTTGCTTTGTTCTCTTCAGCACAATTACAGGCCAGAGAAGGTCGAGGATGGGCCGAAACAATTACTTTTGTCTGTCTCCATGGCAACCGATGCAACTGCCCCCACAAACAACTACAGGTTCAGCATTGATGGCAATCGGGCTCATCAAAACAACAAAGCTGTGTTAACAATATGTAATTAAAGCTTATTTTATACCAATGAGGTTCCAGTGGTGCAATGAAGTTGCACCACTGGTTCTTTGTTGTAGTTCAGTTACTGAATTAAATAATTCAGTAAATTGTAATTAGGTTTTGGAGTGTATTTGCTATTTTTTATTAGTTACTAGTGGGAATACTGTCAAGCATTTACACTCTTGAGTTCCTCCACTTTTTTTCTGTAGGTTTTTCACCACTTCTGCATACTTTGTGCTTTTTCAGCCATATTCTACTCATTCAGGACATTACAGCTATGTGTTTTGGCATTGCCATTTATGAAGATGGTTTATTTCATACACCATTTTCCACGGTTTATGAGATACTCAGCTTTTTGTGATCATCTTCGGTACCATTGAAATAAATGGAACATCCCATTAATTTTGAGTAATTCTGCTGAAAACGTTGTAATCTATCACAGGTAAATATTTCCACTTTCAGTTGCAAACCTCATTCAGCCTTTGAATGTAGACGGATCCTTCAACTAATTACAATCCTGCTTCAAACCCAAACACTAACCCTAATTGCAGTGTTGGAACCAGGGTTGGAACTAACCCAAATCCTAGTTCCAGTTCCAATCCCAGTTCCAAAACCAGTTCTAATCGTAGTTTCAACCCTAGTTCTAATCCCAGTTTCAACTTTCGACCCTAATTCTAATCTTAATTCCAACTCTCATAAAACCTCTTCCCAACCCTAATTCAACCCCAACTCTAACATTGCAACCCTTGTTCCAACCCTCCATAATACCCTAATCCCAACCTCACTTCAAACCGAAGTTTCAATCCTAGTTCAAACCCTACTTTCACTATTGTTAGGATTTATAAATCCACACATAGCTGTAGTTTTCCCCCTGTATTTCAGTTAATTAATGTTTTCTCAATTTCAATTTTGTTATTTTGTTAGTTTTAGCTAACTACAAGAACCCTGGTGGTTTGTCAGTCTGAGCTGACAGGCACCGAAGCAAATTACACCCGTTTCAGAGTATAGAGAACATAAATAAATCACAAAAAGAAAGGAAAAACTTTGTGTAAAATCATACCAAAAATAAGAAATTTAAAGTTTACTTAAATACCAAATCCCAACCAGTGCCTCCTTCTCTTTTAAATCAAAGAGTTTCAGTCCGGCCAGCAGGGGGCAGTGTTTGCCTGTGTGAGCATGGCGCAGAGGCTCTTCCCGGTGATTTGTTTGTCCTGCTGAATGAGTTTGTTGCCTGTCATTAAAGCAGCCATGCAGGGAGGAGCAGTTTGTCTGTCATGGCCCCCGTGAGGCTGCTCCGAGTTCAGCGCTCCCCCCTCCGGCTCCGCTCCGTCTGTATCCGTCTCTGTTTGTCTCTCCGCCCGCCGCATGCATCACGGCCGCTCCGTCTAAACTACCGGTGTCACGTTGATGGAGTCATCCAGAGCAGCTCGTACTATCTGCAACTTCTTCATCATTACGACGGAGCGACGCGCTGCAGTCACCGCAATAAAAGCTCAGAAACAGAGGCAGAGCTGGAGCTGTTCATTTATAGAACAGCCGAGTCAGGGGTGTTCAAAGTGTGGCCCGGGGGCCATGTGTGGCCCTTCGAATTATACAAGTCTGACCCATTCAGCACAAGTGGTTGATGCAGATGGAGACTTTTTTTTAAAGCAATAATAAGATTAAAATTATTTCTAACATTATTTTATTACAACTGAAAATGTTAATTAAGACCAGAGTGTGGTAGTAACTAGTTACATTTACTCAATTACATTTACTTGAGTAACTTTTTGGAAAAAATTTACTTTTTGGAGCATTTTTCAACACTGCACTTTTTATGAGTAATTTTATTATGACGTATCTCTACTCTTAAGTAAAATTTCTGGATTTTATACCCACAAAGAAAAACAAACATGTTTTAACCAAAAATTCAGACACACCTGCAGTTTTAGTTAAAGTTTCAAAAGTTTTTTATTGAAAGAAGCTGATTTGGAAAATTTTTCCTTTGCCTGATTTTGTTATTTTTTGTTACTTATAAATTAGTCATTTTAAATTTCCACTTAATTTTATATTTTGTTCTGTCTGAAGTAATTTTTAAATATTTAATGATTGCTAAATTGATCAGTTACTCTGTACTTTTTACCAAGTACTTTTTTTTTACTCTTCAATAATTTCTTGGACGGCTACTTTTTATTTTTATTTTGAGTAAAAGTATGTTTTAGTAGAGTATAATTTTTGGGTACTCTGCCTCTGATTACTACACGAAGTATTCGTCTTTTTTGGTTCATGGATACTCAGCAGAACATACCACTATCAAATGTAATAAATGTATATATTTTTTGTATATTTTTTTGGTTTAATTATTTGTTCCAGGTGTGTTGCTCTTTCAGCAAATGGCCTTTGTAGAGTCTATACATTGTAGTTAACAATTAATCAATTTCGAAATTAATTGACAATTATTCCAATGATCGATTAATCACGATTAATCGTTTCGCAATGTGTTTTAATCTCTGTTTTGGCGCTTTAACTCTTTTTCGGAAAAGCCCAAAAAAACTTCACATTGTTGTGGGGAAAATTGAGGAACTTATTTCAAATGTTGCCATTTCCATCCATCCTTTTCTAATGCGATATATGAAAAACCTGGTTGAAGATCACAGCTTGACACGGCTCTGACGTGTTTTCCTGTCGGTCTCGGTGTTTCCCTGCACCTCTGCAGTATGAATTTGCTCTGCAGGAGTGAGTACAGTCGGTATTTGAATGTGCAGGAAGCGCATCAACACGCAGCATTCCCTGGAGCCTGCCGCAGATTGCTCACGCTGCTTTGGGAACGCGTTTTACCGTCTCATGCATACGCCTTCAGCTCAGACTGTAGTTGTGTTATTACCTTTATCAGAATCCTCCAGCTCCTCACATCCCATTTATAGGATATGTGGATCACTGACAACCCAGTCCGTAATAAACCTGTTTATTTCCCTTCCTTCCCTCTGAATAATCCCGGCGGAAACGCGCTCCTCTGTGCTGATCCGACAGTCTGTGCCGCCGCCATAATGGGCCTTTCTTTAAAGGAGAAGACGAGATGGGGGAGCGACACTGCCGCTGAGTCTCTGCAGAGACTCAAATCAATTTTACAACGATCGCAACAGGACTGTAAAAGTAGCAGCCCGAGATTGTCTTGTGCCAGGAATCGTCCAAGAAGAAAAGAAAAGTCATCAACGAGACGTTTCCCTTCCTCTGGGAATGCCGGGTGAGTGAACTCATCAGGACGACACAGTTTGGTCTTTAAAGACACAAATATTTATCATGAAACAGCAGCAGGACTTCATCCAGTTAGCCACTGTTAAAGTTTTGAACCTGAATATTTAAATTAGAGGCCGATCAATCTCAAGATTTTACTGCCTTAAGGTGATTTAAAGCAATTTGTATATGAAATTTGTATGAATTTAATGAAAGAAATCAATACTTAATTAAAGGTAATACTTGAATAAAGGTAAAGATATTGGCAGTGGCGATCCTAAATGGGGGATCAGGGGAGACCACGGCCCCCTCTTGAAAAATGTTAACTACCCAGAACATTATGATCATAGAGAAGCATAGAGTCATTTTCTACCATCAAGACATAGTCCAATAAATGTCTATATATGTATTTCATAAAAAATGTTTTATTTAAACTATATAAAATCTAAATTAATTTTATATTAAAATAATTTAAATTAAATACATTTTATTACATTTCTAAATAAATTTAACATTTATTTTTTATTGAATAAAAATAAAATGTATTTTTTATTATATATAAAAATAAATGATTCATTTATTTTTTTATTCATTTATTTTGCTGTACCCTCTGAAAATTTTTACTGGCTTGGTTCAAACACCTTGAGGTAAATTTTCTGGTGGCGCCACTGGGCATTTGCCGACTGTTCCCTCTAATTTGTATTAAGGAATAGAATAAGAAGAAAATGGAGTAATGAAACAGGGAATCTGTACCAAAGTTTGAAAACTGATGTTTACAGATGCCCTACATGAAACCTGATGGAGCTTGAACAGTTTTACAAAGACAAATGGATAAAATGTAAAGAGTGTAAAGCTGCAATAGCAGCAAAATGCAAAAATAAAAATATTGGCTTATTGATTGATTAATATTTATAAAATATGTGAAAACAGTAAGTTTTCCTAATTGCAGATTAGTAATTTTCCTTTACCCAGTCGTTCCTTCATCTCGATGCTCTGCTGAAAAGCTTCTGACTTACATGTCATTTATTCGTCTCTGTCAGGAAAAAGTGTCTTTACAGACTGAAAAAGATAAAAAGTCGAACCGCTTTAAAGGAATAAATTTCCTCTTAAATTATAAAAGTTCTTAGACACGGTTCCTGAAATGAGACCAGGCTGACCCAGAGCATGTGGATGACATTTTTCATGAAGTATTTCACACTTTAAAACATGAATTTTTCTGTCCTCAGAGGGAAAAATGAAGCAGTTTGTTTTTCAGACTCGTCTACTGAACTCATCCTAAACTTTCTTATAAAACCATGAAATAAAACTTATTTGAAAATCCTTAACTATCAAGAAAACAATACATTTTCATTGTCAGATGAAACGCTTAAAATTGTCGGACATGTTGATTAATCTGCTTCTCCTCTAAACTCGCTAATATTTTGCTGTTAAACACTGAAAATGTGCGCTGACATTTTTTTCAATGCTACATAAGAGATTGTCACTGATTGGCTGCGGCAGCTCATTCTTACAACCATTCTGATTGGTTAATTCAGTTTCCTTAATTTTGGGCAATTAACTATTGGCCAATACTTCCAAATCAAAGAGTTTTGAGGAATTTTACCAAATGCAACAGAAAACCCATTTTCAGGTTGCATGTTTGTAAGAAAAATCTGTTTTGATGTTTCTAGAAAGAGCGTGAAGACTATTCCAATGTGTGGAGTTGGAGCAACTTCTGCAGCAACAGACGAGTTCATTAAGATTTTACAGCAACATGCTGCCGACTGCTGCCCACAGAGACATTCATGCATTTTACAGCAAAACAAAACAACCATCTTCTGTTTATATTGTCTGTAATTAAAGTAAAAGAAGAATGTCTCCACTGTCATTTTAGATTTTTTTTTTAGGTTTAAGTTTTACGGGAATCAGGAACAGCTCAATGTTTGGGGTTTAAACATGAATTCAACCCAAAATTACTGACATTCATCAGCAAATATTGAATAATTCTATATTGGGTTTGCCTACAACAACAACAAGAAATTACAAATGCAAATGAATGCAAATAACTTTCACTTGCTGACTAATTTAGTTCAATAATTTAAATATTTGTAATACTTCTATATAGACCCTTTCAATAAGTTAGAATTATTGAAAATCCTATTTATTTTACCAACTCCATCACCAACATATAAACATTATATAGATTAGACAAAGTTGACACCTTTAATTTTCTTAATCACAATTTTAAAACTATAATATTATATCAGACTAATAAAAATTACTTTTAAAAACAGAAATGTGGGATTAAGTGAAAAGTATGTATGTTACTTTCAGACGGTACTTTTAATCTGACTCATAGGGATTTATATTCTAATTTACTCATTATGACTGTATATAGTATACATACAAAATTTTCAGCAATTGAGACTCATCAAAATAAAAAATGTTTGAAAAATACCACTGTGTGTGTAATGAATCTGTAAAATATGGGAATTTCTCTTTTAAAGCTGGACTAGAGAAATAAATCAAATTTTCTCAGATATTCTCATGTATTTAGCTTTACCTGTACAGATAATAATATTATCCAACTGAAAACATCTGAATCTTGCCGTTTTAACTCAGATACCTGCTTCCTGCTACAGAGCAGCTCCAAAGCAACATGCAGTTTATCTGCATCATTTAACAAAACCATGACGGCTCACTGAGCGCCGCCGTTTCCTGTTGTTCTACTTCATTACCCGTTCACAGAGTAAAACACCGATCTCTATCGAGGCTTTAATTTAAAACAAGTCAAGATTCCCACTACTAATTCATGTGATATGAGCAATTTGCCCGACGCACCTCGATTTAGAAAAACCCGTTTCCAGTTTGTAGTGAACCTATTGAATTATTGAAGCGATCAGAAGTTTGTTGGGTTGGGTGGTGCCAAACATCACAAAGTAGCCGCAGGAAATACGAGTTACAGAAGAAAACATTGAGCAACACCGACTCAGACGCTTATTTAATACGACAAAAAGAAACAGAAATGATGAGTTTGAATTTTAACTCACCAACAACAGTCCTGCAGGGATTTCATTCCTCACAGCTCTGCAAAAAATAAGCAAACCTGTCAGCTATAGAGCAGGGAAATTTAATACTTTGATAACAGTGAAAACTGTCAAGTAGAAAGTAACTGAGGGCCACGAGAGATTTTTAAATTTAAAACTTTTATCAGCACAACTAACACAACATTGTAATAATTTAAAGAAGCCTGATCTCCATAGAAAAGATAACTAGGCCTGTCACAATAACAAATGTATAATTTTAATTATCACAGTGCAGAAAAAGAGCTTAACTTGTAAATTTATGGTTATAATAAGAAAACTGTAACACAAATGACTGGTTTCAACTGTATTCATCTTGCTGTCAGATTGTTTACATGCAGTGATAAATTTATTTCTCCTGACTTTTAATTAGATCTTTCATTTTGCTAATAGAAAATCAACAGTAACAGGCAGTTCTTTTAGGTGAGCCGATTGAACCGGATCTCAGAAGAGTCAAAATTCCCATGATCACAATACTGAAAGTCAAATCTAAAAATCTTATATTTATTCGTTTTGTTTTTACAAACAAAGCATGCTAGACATTTCACAAATTACACTTCTATGATACTGATAATTAAGTTTTACAGAAAAATGCAAAGATGGTGTTTTAAACTGTACGTTTAAACACCTTTTAGACACTTTATGGTCAACGGGCGATTAAAGTATAAAAGGAACATTAGACAAACATTTTTGATAATACATTTTAACTTTGTCTCATGGTAAAAGTACTTGGTGAGCAGAACTTCAGTACATCTTCCTCCATTAGCTTCGGCGTTCATGTTAGCTTGTTAACGAGCTGCGTCAGTTTGTTAGCCGTAGCTAACGTCTGTTGCTAACGTCCGTTTCGTCTGTTAGCTCAGCAAATACTTTTTATTTTGCTCGGGCGAAAAATTATCCACAAAAAAATTATTTTGAACACGATGGAAAGTGACAGAGTGGGTGGGTTTCACTTACCGTGGATGTGGAAGATTATAGCTAACAGTTCAGTGGGAGATGAGGACGGAAGCTCCGCCATTAAAGCAATTTTAAAACTCTTGCTGTTTCAGATAAGTGAAAACAATCACTCAGAATAATTCTTTATTTTCCTCCTTTTCTTTTAATGAATGAATAAATAAATAAAAGATTAAAACAAAAAGAAGAAAACTGTGTTTCAGAAATATAATTTTAAAAATAGAATAAAAAATCATTTTAAAAAACAATAATAAAGATTTGGGAATAATTCAAATACTCATTATTCATTCAGGCTTTACATTGAGATAAATTTTAAATTTAATTACTTTTGTTGGGAGCAGCTGCCAAATAACTTAATCTATATTAGCTATATCTTCTAGCTTATTTTAGATAAAAGCTACAAAAGTTTTTTTTTTTAAATATATGGTACTGTTTGATTTCTTCAGTGTACCTTCAGTATTTGAATTGCATAGAATGCAGAGAAAAACAAGGAAATATGCACTCAAAAAACAATCATTGACATAATTGTATTTTGTTTAAAGTAAGAAAAATATAATAATCTGACGTTATGACCTTATAAAATAAAATAAATTAATTAACTACTTCAAATTACTTCAGACTGACAAAAGAGAAGTTAGTTAAACTTATCCCAAAGCTATATCAGGTAAAAATTCAAAATGACTGTTAACATCTATAACATATAAAAGGTACAATAATAAACACTTTTTGTTGATAGATTTTGTCTCCTGATACTTTTTAGCTAATACACTACAATTTCTTTTATTAATATGTGACATTAGTGATTGAAGCGTTGTAAAACATTTTGATAAATACACTATTTTTAGCTTGTTTTGCTAACTGTTAGGTTGGTCTACCCTTAACAGTTATGCTTTGATTCGTCTAACTACAGTTGGAACTGGAATTTGTGAATACCATCAATGCAGTTGAAGATGTTCTAGCTAAAAGTTGATAAACCAGTGGGATTGTTGTTGTGCTATCTACTACTGGCAATACAAATCAGTAACAACTCTCTATTTTAGAGGTTAAAACACACAGGCTCCATACTTTATCCGTCTATCCACCATTTCTTTTCTCCTGAACCAGTTGGAGCTCCATATCTCACCGTCTACACTGTCAATCGCCAACATTTGGAGTTTTACTACCCAGCTGTCTGGTCACTCTGCCTTACACTTCAGGCAGCAAAACTAATTATTGTTTGACAGTTTGCTGCAGAGTTCCTTGAAAACATTTCAAACTCTGTTTTGATTTTCCTTAGCCACAGCGCCGTCTCGCTCATTGACCCGTGACTCTGCAGGTCAGACAGAGGGGATTCGCCGCCAGGGTTCCTCTGCTTCGATGCGATTCTCTGGTCTCCCTACTGTCCAGATCAGATTGTGTTTGTCCTTGTTTGAGTTGTTTGGAGTCTCTGAGGCGGTTTATCATCACCCCTGACGGCAACTTTGCATCTTCTAACTTCAAATTTCACACACCCCATGAACCCCGAGAGGGTGTTAGAGACACGACAAAGTTTCCAGCAGCGTATCCGTGACCGTGCCAAAGTGACCCTGGAGGGGCTGTTAATTTTCTTCAGCAGCGTGAGGCTGTTTCATTTGCTTTTGAAATCAGTTTTATTGTTCCCTGATGGGACATTCTGCTCTGTGGCATTTGGAAAACACGCATTTTTACAAGTGGATCCCATGAGACAAACACACCACAGGACAAAGGAGGACATGGTGACAAAACGTAACACTTGATGGTGTTTGGAAAAGACTGCAAAGTTAGCAAATTAATGCCTCGTAGTTTCTCAAATCAGCTTTATCTGTTGGGAAAATAAGGTTATGAGTCCAGCTTTATCCACCTTGTGTATGTGAATAAAATTATTCTTATTCATACAAAACAGGAACATTTCCAACCTTTTATTCACACAAACAAGCCAGCATTGTAAAAATAATCAAAGATATAAACAACATGTTACTGGCGTCCAAAGTTACCTGGTTCAGGTTCAGATGGGAAACACATACATTCTTCTCTCTGGCTGATTCAAGAAGATCTCAAAACATTCCCATGCCAAAAGAAATATCTCTTACCTTCAGCAAGTCCTGTTTTTGCCTCAGGCTCAGTGAGGCATAACTGGAAAACCTCCTGAGGGACAAAGGAGGTATGGGGAGATAAGGCGGAGAGGTCAGCCATCTTTGAAAGGCTCAAGCTGAAAAAGAAAAAAACCTATTTAAGCAGTTGGTATCAAGGAAATTGTTGTTTTTTTGGTCACTATTATGACCATTGATGAGATTTGACAAACTGGTAAGTTGGGAGTTTTGCTTTTCTCTTTCTTCGACAAAACAAACTAGAGCAAACCCCACATTACTGCACATCAGAGCAGTAACATATTATTATTATATTATTTCCCAATTTTACCTGACATATCGTATTTTACGTTTTTGGCCACTTGAGGTCAGTCTGACCCAAATTCCTCAACATTCCACAAAACATTAATCAATCAGGATTTCTGATTTTTTTGTAAGTTTCTTTGTTTTGTTTTTTTTGGGGGGTTTTTGACAATCAAGGTCAGTGATTATGTGGTGCAACTTTGGAAATATTTGCAAGGAATTTTGCGATACTTTTTCCTCAGTATAAAAAAACAAGCAGACAGATTGGACACACAAGTGTTTTCATTCTTTAAAAAATGTACAGTTTCTCATTCTTTTGAATGTAAAATATTTTTTTTGTCCACTTGGGGTCAATATGAGCAAACATTCTAAAAAAATTTGATCTTAGATTTTTGTCGTGATTTTTTGCTTGACTTGTGGTGCTACTTTAGAAATATTTCCAAGCAATTAGATTTGACACACAAACATTTTTATTCTTTAAAAACTTAAATATCTCAATTTTTGTTATTCACCATATTGATGACAGACTACAACTTGCATCAGCAGAGTAGCAGAGGAAATACTGCCACCTGCAGGCGGGAGCTATGAGTCACTTAAACCCAATATTTTTGGTCATTTTTGCAGAAAATATACAATAGACTAAGACTTTTACTTTAGCTTGAAATGTTAGGATCTGTTCATTTAGCATACTGTCTATTCCTGCTTACCGTTGCAGCATCACTGCTGTTAACGCCAAGCAAAAATTAACGCAAACAGCACATTTTCATTATGTTACAGACAAAATGAAATCAGAATGTTAATTATGCCTCTGAAATTGTGATTTTTTTGATAGCCTGAGGAAAGAATCAAATCATCCTGGTATGAATGCAAAAATGCAGAACGTGTTCAGTAAATGTATAATAAATCCAATAAAGACATTATCAAGGTCTCCTGTGACAGTTCATTTATAAATCACTAACATTGTGTTGAGTTGTGCAACAAGAAAACATATTGTGTTTTATTGCTGCATTAAACAAAGAGATTATATTAAAAGCTCAGACTAAATAGCTAAATAGCAATTTTCTCTTTTTTTATTTGACATAATTTGATACAAATATATAAGCAGCTCTGTAGTATAAAAATACAGCAGAGCTTGAAGCTGTAAACCATGAAGCTGTAAACCTTTGCTTCTTCTCAGTAAACATAAAGTAAAACCGGAATCTCTGGTGTTTTTATCCAGTGGAAACACTGAAGATCAACAATGCTGGTAGGATTCAACCTCTGGGGCGAAGTTCTTATCAAAGTTCCCAGAGTGTAATAAAAAACAAACACTGTCTAAAACCTTCAATCTGCTGCTATAACAGCTTCAATTCTTCTGGGTTCAGTTTTTCCACCTGATTTTAAAGCTGGAATCAACAAGAACAGCAATGAGGTCAGACACTTTTGTCGGATGAGAGGGTTTCTTGTTTCAGTCCGTCCCAAAGGTGTTGAGCAACACAACTGGAAGATAATTTATTTTGCGTTGCAGTGGTGGGACATGAAAAAGCTTTAGGAGGTGATATCAGGGAGCAGAGACTGGAAAGGACACATGGGCACATCGGAATTCAGCTCAGGTTAAAGAGAAATATTCAGCTTTTCAGCATCTCCATGGACCTAACAGGGAAGTGGAGAGAATTGTTGCAGCAGCAACGTCGCGAGGGAATCTAGCCTTTGAGGCGGAAAAGAGAAAAAAAAAGATGCATGGAGATCCGATGGGAAGCTAACACAGGGAAGTAAAACATGTTGCCCATCCTCACCTTGACAGCTTCCTGCTTTTCGGGGAATTTTCCTTCATCTATTTACTTCCTTAAGCCATCTCCACATGGTGTTTTTTTCTTGTTTTTTAAGCATGCATTCATGAAATGCAGGCAAAATCAGTGATGTTTATGCATAAAATATTGGAGTCAAGGTAAGGGGATTGTCAGAGTACAATGGAGTCAACTATTTTTTTTTCTGTGGATAGTAACTCCTGATAATTCACAGGAAATCTGTCTATTTTGTCCTTTAAGGCCCACTCACAGGGGTATTGTTTGCATTCTGTACAGTATCAGTACAGGTACAGGAAAACCAACCAAAATGATGATGTGTACGGCATAACTCATAAGTAGAAGTACTTTTGGGCTGAAACCCCAATCCTAACGGGAATTTTTTCTAGATTCCAGTCTAGTTATGGTTTGATCTCATCTAAAGCTGTGTGATGTGACCTGATGTATGGATCAAACTCCATGAACAGAGATTGTTTCCTTGGTGTCATTAAAGGTCCTTATCCAAAGGTCTTTACCTGAACTCACTTGGTCAGTGTATTCCTTGAGTGCGTATGATCCTGAAGGTTATTGGATCTTCTGGGACATCATGGAGGCTTCTTCTCTAGAGCTCTTGAAGATTCAAGAGTGAGATTGATCATTTTGATGAAAAACATGGATGGTTGCATGTTTTCGCTGAAGGCAATTGCCACAGGGTTGAAGTTGTTTTACTGGCCAGCAGACACAATAATGGGGACCAGGATAGCTGAGTGGTTAAGGTGTTGGACTTAAGATCCAATGGACACCAGCCCACATGGGCCCAAACCCCACCCCTGGCAGAGGAGAATCACCTAATCCATGTGCTTGGAGGCATTGTGTCTGTTCTCTGAGGCCAACAGATGGCTGAGCTTTCACTGTTGACCTCTCCAGGTTGTGGAATCACTCACCAATTTTCCATTTGTGTCCAAATCTTATAGCATGATTATTTCAACACATATTTACCCAGTCTGAGCAATTTCCTCCCACGTGCTTTTTGTTTTCTGAAAGTCCTCATATTCCCTCACGGATGTATCGTATAAGCTTCTACATTTTCTAATCACGTCCATCAGCTCTTCAAAATTTGACTAAGTCTCTCCCACAATATAGTGCTGACTCATAGCTGGCTCAGATTGGTGCCACAAACAAAACACTTTGCTCTGCAAGAAACCAGGATGGCCAAGTGGTTAAGGCATTGGACTTAAGCTCCAATGGGTGTAAGCCCTTGTGGGTTCAAACCCCACTCCTGGAAGAGTCTTCAAAAGCAAACTGTATCTTAATCTGACAGTGAAGGTTTAGATGCTCAGCTTCTACAATGTACCATTTTTGATACTCCCAAGTATGTTGTCTATGTCTCATCCTTACCCAGGAGCTGGGCTTTCTTTTTCCTCATCATGAGTTTAGATATTTTCTAATCGCTTCTGTCAGATGCTCTTTAAAATTTTACCATAATTGATCCACAAATGTCACTCAACCTAAGAACTCCTACAAAGAACTGTTCAATGTGAGTTTGAAACAGAACAGGAACCAGGATGGCCGAGTGGTTAAGGCGTTGGACTTAAGATCCAATGGGCAAAAGCCCTCGTGGGTTCGAACCCCACTCCTGGTAGCAGTAGCTTGTTTGTCAGAAAAAAAAAGTTGTTTAACTACAACAAAGTCTGACATTTAGATTTCATCAGAATATTTAATTTGACATTCCGTATGCAAGTTTCTGCAATTAGTAACACATTTTAGTGTTTTGGCCTTCAAAACTATTGTTACTCTTTGTTGTATTATAATTTTGAACTGAAATCATAACAAACAGGATAGAACATCTTCACACTTTATGTTTCTCAACGGTTCTAAAATATCACCAACTTACCAAGAGTCAAAGAGAGATTAGATCTGGCATTCAACACCCTGAGAGAAAAACATTTCATTAATCAACTGAAGGTCAGAAAAAGTCTTTGTCTTTGAGAAAATGGTGTCTATAGAACTGAAAATCGTCTTTGCCAGCTTAGAGATGTCAGTTTCCTAGTGAAAGACTAAACAGGAAAAAAGGGAGAAACTAAAGTTTCAGCGCAAGATTTCACCAAAATACAGATTTTTTTTTTGGTTGGAACAACAAATCCTTTAAGTGTCTGTGTGGTGAACTTTGAACTTTCAGGTGAACCGATGACAGAGGGGTCAGATAGGGTAAGGACAAAATATGTGGAGCTAAATTGGGGCCATAAATATTTGTTTGAAACGAAAAAAATTAAACTGAAAAAAACCCACCCTTGAATCTGAAAAGACGTTTTAAAAAAAAAAAATTCAGTTTCAATTTTTTTTTCTGTCCTTTTAAATTTTGCCCCAAATTATCTCCATAAAAATATCTCTAAGCTACAAAGGCTGATACAAGGTCATAAACTTTCAGGAGGTTTTGTTGACTTCTTGTTGACATAAACAATATGCACAATTATATGGTCAATGGAAACACAGCTACTGTTCCAGCAGTTTAGCAGTTTTCCAGAAGTTTCTTCCAAATTAGGAACCACATTAAAGTGCGAATAAAGACAAAGGAAAACAAAAATAGTTTTGGTTTTTCTTTTGCATCTTAAATCCTGTGCCGATTGCAGAAATTGATCTATTTTAAGTGCAATTTTTACCCACTTATTGTAGAGTAAAGGTTTATATTTCCCAGTTAAAACAAAGCTCCGCCTAAATGATGAAGATGTAAGGAGTCATATTCATCTCCTATGGAGGTGGAGAGCCGGAGTTTATTTGTGTTTTCAAGGTTCTCAGACACCCACATGTGTATTTTAGGTTTCCTTTTCTTCTGTCAGCAAGGTGAAGGCTTACAGAGAAAAGGGGCCGATGCAGCTTCAGTCACTCTGAGGTCTGTTCATTCATCTGCCTGCTGATAGAAACATCTCAGCTCTGACTGAAGACCTGCTATCAGCAACCTGCAGCAGCTGGAGGAGGAAAATAAGTGAAGCGGAGTCGCCACCAAGGCGTCCCATCTGTAGCTCAGGTTTCTATTTTAGGCCCAGGGTGACTTTCTATTTTACAGTCGAGAAACCAGAGAAATCATTTCTGCCAGTGAACAAATTTAAACTTTTTCTTTATTAGGCCCGAGCAGCTAAGCTAGGCCTATTGTAATCATGTTGTTTATTATTATTATTTTTCCCATGCCAAATAAATTGGCTTTTTGGGGGCTTTATCATATTCAAAAACTCACCAAACTTGGCGGGGGCATAGAGCCCG